CCCAGCGAGCCAACCCTCGTGCCCAGTGGCCGACCCAGCCCCGGCCCGACTCGATCAAGACCGGCCCGACCCAGTTCGGATTGACCCAATTAGCCCGGTTCATGCCCAAGATGATTTTTGAGCTATCCGAGGAGTCCGGTTCACATACCGAAGGTCCTAGGCGATCCGTTCGTGATTCAACACTCGACTAGAGTCGACAAAGGCTAAACCCTTCAACCGATTGGGTTGTGGTAAACAGACGATCTCCATCAAAGGAAATCAGAAACGTCTCTGAGTCGGCAAAAATTTTAAACCGTAAGTCCTAATCCTAACTATAGATTCCGCTGCATTAGGATTTATTATTCAATAGATTTGAATGTGCACATTGTCGACGTTCCTAATAGAACCCAACAACGCATGAGATTTGAATTGCACTTTCTGTATATATCATGTCACCATGATGACACCAATGATCTTATCAAATAAGGCTTGAATTTACAATGTATCATGTCACAGCCACAGGAAATAAAACCTTACAATCATTATGACTTCAATGATCCAACTAGACAGACGACACGCACGTAAAAACCCAGCGTATAGTAATCGTAATGTTTTGCACAGTATCGTATACACACTGCACGATATTTTGATATGGGCTGCAAAATATATAAACACGACAAGCACTGCAACATAACTCTAAATTTTAACGATAATATAATAATAATATTATTAGTACTACTAGTACTAATAATTATAATAATAATATTAACAACAATAGTATCAATGTAGATACACTTATAAAATGACTTTGATATATGTGATACACATGTATTGCACAATAGCAACTACATGATTGCACAAATATACACAAAAATATGCACATTTTATATTCCCCTTGATCGTTCTGAAAAAATACGAATACTTGAAACAATACGAATACTGACAACAACAAACGAACATTGAACATATACACACATTCTGAAAAATATGAATACTGACAACAAAATACAAACACTGAACATATACACACGGGTGACACCATGCGTCCAGTGGTACCAAACAAGTACTATACCAATAGTTTCATCGTCTAAATGTTCAAAAATTCATAAATCTTCGTGATACCAACAAGAGTACTAATCCAGAAGCTTGAATATAAAAAATTTTCAACAAAACAACCTGTGTACGTTATACCAAAACAAGTACTAATCCACCAAAGGAATCGCCACGTAGACATTCCAACAAACTAACATTATCCACATACACATTCCAACAAACTAATACCAAAACTGGTACTAAGCCAACAGTTTGACCACCACACAATTCAACCATCAATCACGCCGACTTGCGTTCCTTCGTCTCCAAATACAAATGATGATATTTCTTTGCCTCTGTGAGATTTATCTCCTTTAGCTTGTTGTTTGATGCACATGCTATGACACAACTATATCTCTTCCTCATGAGCTTCAATTGTCCCTTGTCTCACGCCGATGTATGCCTCATCACGCCCCCTCGGTCCAGGGTGTAGGGATGACATTGGGAACGCAGTTGCTTTAGAATTCTTCACCAGGTTATTCTCACCTAGATACTTTGAAAGTGATTGTTGCTGTGAAAAAAATGAAAAACATGTTCATTATAACACAATAATGGAACTTGTGTAATTACACCAATAAGAAGCAATTTTCTTAGTATTACCAACAACATGACATGAGACATGAGCACTTTCTTCACGTCATCATCTTTACAAATACTAGCACTATTCAAAATACTGAGCTTCAGAACTTCCAGCGCTATGCACAATAAGCCCGAGAAAGCCACCGTGTGCATAGAAAACCGAAATTGTATATATGAACATGAAAAAAAAAAAAAAATAATAATAATAATTATAATAATCATGCGCCCGCATTAATCTATAGCATCTGTGTCACAGTTCAATATATTGTTCGTAAATTATGTAAAAACCCAAAAAATTAAACAAGCTGTAATGCCGCTTTTGATTTGAAAGAAAATTATGGACTTTCCAAAAATCAAGATTTAAATTTTCGAAATTCTTTTTTCGATTATGCGAGCAAGAGGTAGATCATTTTTCGAAAATTCATTCAATTTTCGAGTGCCATACCATTTTTTTGCAAGTTCTGCAAGAGGTAGATCATCGTGGACATCGTCACTATGGCTCGTTATGCGTGCACCAACATTCGAACGCTTCAAATGGTCACCAACATTCGGACGCTTCAAATGGTCACTGCACATGTACATCACAAAAGTGTTCAGAACACGCATATAAAACCAAAGAGCATTAATAAACTAGAATAACTTTATAATATAGATATGAATATTTCATAAGTAATTACCTTCATGTATGTTATCGTGCTTTGCGGACGTGTCGCTTTGCTGTAATAACATCAGTCTTGTAGTACGTCGGGTGACAAGCCGTTTTGTTGTAATATCTGCCAGGGGTACATCGTCAACAAAATCGTTCTTACTAGGATGGCTCGGTATGCGTGCAGCAGTTTCAAACGCTTCAGGTGGTCACTGGCACATTCTGGTGCAGCGAGAGCTCTCTTCGACACTGTATATGTACAACACGCAATGGTTGAGAAAAACACATGTAAAACCGTAGAGAACGAATGAAAATCGAATAACTTTAGAATATAGATATGGATATTTCGTAAATAATTACCTTCTCGAGTCTTATCATGCTTTGTGGACGTGTCCCTTTGCTGTACCGATGGCAATCTTGTACAGTGTCGGGTCACTAACAATAGAAGTCAAACATTACAAATAATACAACGTAAATTCAAAGAAAAATGCACTATATAATGATAATACGTCAATTCACTAAAACTTATAAAGTGCAATGGACTAAACATATCAGTTCACTAAAACTTATAAAGTGCAATTGACTAGACACAACATACAGTACATTATAGATTGTACCTACTTCACCATTATGCATACCTCTATCACCATTATTGTTCAGCTACGATGTCCGTCATCGTCCGGGTAGTACCTGCACACGGTGAAACATCAAACATACGCCTCACAAACTTATTTGTGGAAATTGATATAAATAGTCATAATATTGATAATGCGTTTCAATCTTAGGTCATTTGAATATGAATGAGACCGAAATATAGAGTGATAGTGTGAATCTATCAGATCAATTTCAAAATTATATAGATATTAGAATTTTTTTTCAGCTTATTTAATGAATCCCTGAGCATATATTGTAGATCGAGAAAATACTAGAACATGACTTTATAAAAAAAGAAGAAAAAAAATCTCGAGCGGATCAATACAGATCTGGGACTAAAACGCAGAAAACTACATGATACAACCAAAATAAACAAACATCAAACACCTACTAATTAAAATATATTCGAACAAGTTTACATAACATACGAACCATAATTCTTTATTTAAATATATATATATATATATATATATATATATATATAGGGATTGGTTCCAATGCATCCCATTATTTAAAGTGAGAACGTGAGACTCATTCCTAGCCACAAGATTTAGATCTTGATTTAAATAATAATTTTTTATTTTTATTATTTAATTCTTTATTTTTACTTATTTTAATATTATTATGACCATTGACCGTTGACTCCGGCGTTGACCGTCGACTTCCGGCGTTGACCGTTGACTTCCGACGTTGACTTCCGGCGAAACTCGTTGACTTCCGGCGTTGACCGTTGACTTCCGGCGTTGAC